CCTTATTGTTTGGAGTTCATGCCTGATTCTTACGTGTTTGGAGATGATGTCTGATTTCACGTGTTTGAGGTTAGTTTTACGGGGTTCGGAATTGATTTTTGATTCGTTAGTGTTTGGAGATGATTTATGGTTCTTACACGTTTCAGTATCAAGCATGATTCTTACGCGTTTGGAGAGGATGCTTGATTGTTCTGTGTCCTGAGTTGACGTTTGGAGAGGATGCATGACTGTTCTGTGTCCTGAGTTGACGTATGGAGAGGATGCTTGATTGTTCTGTGTCCTGAGTTGACGTATGGAGAGGATGGTTGATTGTTCTGTGTCCTGAGTTGACGTTTGGAGAGGATGCATGATTGTTCTGTGTCCTGCGTTGACGTTTGGAGAGGATGCTTGATTGTTCTGTGTCCTGGGTTGACGTTTGGAGAGGATGCATGACTGTTCTGTGTCCTGAGTTGACGCTTGGAGAGGATGCTTGATTGTTTTGTGTCCTGAGTTGCGGTTTGAGAGGATGCTTGATTGTTCTCTGTCCTAAGTTGACGTTTGGAGAGGATGGTTGCTTGTTCTGTGTCCTGAGTTGACTTTTGAGAGGATGCTTGATTGTTCAGTGACCTGAGCTGACGTTTGGAGAGGATGCTTGATTGTTCAGTGACCTGAGCTGACGTTTGGAGAGGATGCTTGCTTGTTCTGTGTCCTGAGTTGAAGTTTGGAGAGGATGCTTGATTGTTGTGTGTCCTAAGTTGACGTTTGGAGAGGATGGTTGATTGTTTTGTGTCCTGAGTTGCGGTTTGAGAGGATGCTTGATTGTTCTTTGTCCTTAGTTGACGTTTGGAGAGGATGGTTGGTTGTTCTGTGTCCTGAGTTGAAGTTTGGAGAGGATGCTTGATTGTTGTGTGTCCTAAGTTGACGTTTGGAGAGGGTGGTTGATTGTTCTGTGTCCTAAGTTGCCGTTTGGAGAGGATGCTTGATTGTTATGTGTCCTAATTTGACGTTTGGAGAGGATGCTTGCTTGTTCTGTGTCCTGAGTTGACGTATGGGGAGGATGGTTGATTGTTCTGTGTCCTGAGTTTACGTTTGGAGAGGATGCTTGATTGTTGTGTGTCCTAAGTTGACGTTTGGAGAGGGTGGTTGATTGTTCTGTGTCCTGGGTTGACGTTTGGAGAGGATGCATGACTGTTCTGTGTGCTGAGTTGACGTTTGGAGAGGCTGCTTGATTGTTCTGTGTCCTGAGGTGACGTTTGGAGAGGATGCATGATTGTTCTGTGTCCTGGGCTGACGTTTGGAGAGGATGCTTGCTTGTTCTGTGTCCTGAGTTGAGGTTTGAGAGGATGCTTGATTGTTCAGTGACCTGAGCTGACGTTTGGAGAGGATGCTTGATTGTTATGTGTCCTAATTTGACGTTTGGAGAGGATGGTTGGTTGGTCTGTGTCCTGAGTTGACGTTTTGAGAGGATGCTTGATTGTTCAGTGTCCTGAGTTGACGTTTGGTGAGGATGGTTGTTTGGTCTGTGTCCTGAGTTGACGTTTGGTGAGGATGGTTGTTTGGTCTGTGTCCTGAGTTGACGTTTTGAGAGGATGCTTGATTGTTCAGTGTCCTGAGTTGACGTTTGGAGAGGATGCTTGATTGTTCTGTGTCCTGAGAGGATGCATGATTCTAACATCTTTTGAGACGATCTGTGAGTCTGCCGTGTTCAGAGATCATGCCAGATTCTCACGGGTTCGAAGATGATGTCCTATTGTTACTTGATGACTCATTCTTACTAATTCGGAGAATGTGTCTGTCAATCATGAAACAGATGTTATCTGTTATGATTGATATTATTAGGAATAGATATTTTTGGTAATTGTGACATTTCATATCCAACATTTGTATTTTATGAATATCGTTGATTACGCGTAAACAGTTGTAAATACAAATTGTCTTCCTTAGGTATATTTCAAAGCTTATTACCACCAACGAAAAGTGACTGCATTATTAGCTTATACAAATTTGAAAACCAATATAAGATCAAGAAAGCAACATGAAAATTAATAAATAATAACGTGTTTATTAAATGAAAGACGAGACGGGAGTTCATGAAATGACCGCCTAGTATCATAATGTGGTATGATTAAATGGTATAACTGTCACTGCAGCTAGACCAACTGGTATAACCGACTTTTGATATTACAGCACGTGATTTAACGAATGGGATAACCCTCATTGTGATCAGATGACGTGACGAAGTTTACTGGTATAACAATCATTACAATTAGAACACATTGCACTATTACATTTTTGTAACAGCCAGAGCACTTATGACAGCTAGGGCATGTTAAAAGACTGATTGGTACAACAGACACCGTACCTAGATCACGTGACATGACAAATGAGTGTAACAGTAATCAAAAGTATAACAAGTGATATAGTTCACTGTTTTTTCTTTTAATTACAGCACGTATATAAAGAACAGTCATAACAGGTAAACCACGTTCAATGATTAATTGATGTAACAGGAAGTACAAAACAATCGCGTGACGAATTAAATGGTGCAACAGATATAACAATTAGATCACTGGACGTAATTAATTGGTAGTACAGAAACTACAAACAAGATCACGTTCTATGATTGGTAATTGGTATGACAGTGATAGTAACAGATCACGCTGTGTGGTTTACACGGACATAACAATGATATCTTGTCACATGGTTGACTGATATAACAGATGTTACTTTTAGATATTGTACCATGATAACGAATATAACACTCACTTTCGCACGTGATATGAGTTACGGGTTTCAACGCCACTGCAGTATGTGACATGACTAGTTAATCGGTATAACAGTTATAGCGATTAATAACAGAATATGTAAAACCTGTACATTAACACATAAACGACAGTAATAACAATCACAGCACGTCATATGATTAGTTTGTATAGCAGTCAGTACAACAATACTCTGGTAGAGAGTCCCATCACTTTTCTACTATTTACTGAAGTATTTATCTTTCAGTTCAAGTTATCCATTTTCTCTAAATTTATGCAATTATATTTATAGGTTACTAGACGCCTTATGAAGAAAAAAACATATTTGAATAATTCCCAATACAATTTAACATATCACATAGCATAACTAGTACAGTAGTGGAAAAGCTCCCTGCCTTATAACCTATAGTGGTCCGCTGATCTATCCCCATGGCGTAGATACGTTCTGTGAAAAAACAAATTGTCAGTGGTTTTGGTTGGAGATACAACTGTTCTGGGACACTCTACCTTAACAACTTAGTACAGTAGATAGGATAGTAGTAGATCATTGTCAAATTTCCTGTAGCATATCACTGAATGTGTCCTTTTAAACTTCTGGTATTCTAGTTCGGGAAATATTGATGAATTACTGTTATTTATTACATGTTTGCAAGTAAAATATCGGATTCTATCAACTTGATAAAACTGATATTTGTCACAGTGTGAAAAATATCACTTTTTGGAATGAACCAATCATAACGGTATCTCCTATTCGGTGCATTCAAAAGCAACGATTTTTTGTTCAGATTCAAATGAAGCGACGGTAGAATAAGAGAATGTTATGGTAAATGTTTGGTACACACATTTCAGTATTTACATATATATACCAGTAATGACATTTTTAAAAGCAATCATACCAGAAAATAGCAGAAAACGTCGGAATTGCGTTAAGAATCCCATTCAAAATGGCGCTCAGCCTTGTTGTCAAGCGTGACGTCATTAGAATATGGCGCTAATAATTACGCTTCTGATTCCCGCCCTTTTTTAATGCATTACATTTTTATGTTTTATGCTTTTAAATGTAATACATGTAGATAGAACATTCAACGGTGTCTTCAGTAATAAAAACAAACTCGTGAAATATATTTGTTATTACTGAAGACACCGTTGAATATCCTCTATTTATTTACTCGACGCAATATAACATTAGGACGTATTGTAACATAGATTGCCTTCAAACCCCGGATGAGTCGCCACTGATATCATATTCTCTTCAGCAGTTGATATGATCCGCTTTAGAAGCTGACGACATGGATTTGATGAGTTTGACTATAAACCAATAGTGTATATCAGGCACACCATATCAGTCAATAGTTTCCCACTCGTTAGTAGACCTCCCATTATTACATCACCTGGGCTGTTGCTGATAAGTACTCAGTAGATGACATGATCCGCTACAGACTAAAACACTCAACAATACCTTGTCAATAATAACCTGAATGGATTTTATCTCCACCATCCGAGTGCAGCCATTGACTGACATGATCCACTACTGCATTATCTACTTATAACAGTCATTAACATTAAAACATGTAGCATGTATAACATTTAACATGTAAAACAAAGATAATTATCATAATGAACGGCATTGACTAGATAATATGAACAAGTAACATACAGTAAAACATTTTGGGGTTATATCGGATTAGAAACAAATTTCAGCAATGACTACTAATAACTGTAGCGACATTTTCTGTATGTGATATTATATTCCATAGACATCTATTAAGAGATTATTTTTTTTCTGTATAGTTTAATATTGTAATCTCTATTTAAATTCTTATTTCCCGAAGAAATTTTAGGGTCATTTCCGATAATCAACATCATACTAAATGCCATATTTATAAGCCAACAATTGATATGGAAAGAAATTGCTAAATAAAATACATAAACCATGCGATATTGTTTCAGCAGTACATTGAGGTTGGCAGATTTAAAACATAATCTTACAACATTTGCCGGGACGTACTCGTTGTTCACCTAGGAATTCTCTTTTATCTATTAACTGCCTTAAAACTTTGACTACATATCGGACTTCATTGATAAAATGTTGTTGAAAATGTACCTTAACAAATAAAACGCAGTAGCAAAACAGAGTAACAAAACAATTACCTTACATGTATCTTAATATTTTTCTTCCTCTTTAAATCAATTGATAAACAAGGAGAGCCACCAATAGTGGTACGTATTCCAGTTATTTGATCCGTTTTGCCTAATCCGTTTCATCATTTTTTAACACTTACAATTTGTGTCGCACCAATAACACATGGGATACACATAATCCTTATACGAAATCCCCTCATGCACATATCTGCACGGCACAATCAATGTGAACACAATATCGTCATTCCGCCGAGTTTGATTTTGACATCATCATAGCAGGAGGAGGTTTAACAGGAGATAAAGCTTGAAGCTTCTGTTTTTTTGCCCCTCCAATTTTTCTCATCGGGGAACCGTCTCGAGAGAAAATTGGAAAGTACGACCCCATTCCTCCAATGGGTGAAAGCACTGGTGTTTTAGACGATATATTTAGTCCTATTTGCGAACGTGGTGACGATTGCGCTGGAGGGAGGGGCTTTTTTGACACCGTGACACTTCCATTTGTGGAAGGTCCACTATTTTGTGCCTTGTTTCGCAGTAACGCCAGTTCGTTTGGGGGTAGGCGGCGGGGAGGTGGTGGTCCTTTACTGAATAGATCACCAATCGGCTTTGTTCTCGCGAAATTGTCATAGTTTGTCGTATTCACTACCTCCTTATCACCTATAACCTTTTCAAACCACTCGCGGTCCGCCTTTGATTCGGATGTCTTTTCAGAGTCACCTGTTCTCTTTGGTCTGTTCTGACTGTACAGCCCTGCACCAATAGTCCTGGCTTCTCCCAACGGATGACCGTTCAAATAATCCCACACGGACTTGGGAGCGTCCGGACCTATGTGATGACTGCTCGGTCCGTAACTTCCGAGAGCACCGTCGGAAACAACGCTTGAACCTGACGATGAAGAAGCTGAAGATCCTCGAATTTCCACCCTCCGTCCAACGGACGTTAAATCATTCAGCGAAAACGAAACTTTCTTACCGTTAGAGAACATTTGTCTATTTTGTGTTCCCCGTAAAACTGGGTCCGGTAAGCGCGGAAACCTCGGACGAAGGACCTCTGTTTCAACTTCATACACCGGTACGCCATCACATTCCGTGTATTTGTACGTTAACTTCTGTTTCACTAATTCCTCGCTCTCTTTTGTGTCATTCTGTTCGGCCATGGAAATATCACGCGGTGGACCATGTCGCCTGGTGGGAGATTCCCTATTCCTCTGAATCCTCGGCAGCTGAACGCCATAGAGTCCATGTTCAGCTTCTCCGCCCAAATGATTCAATCCTGGACCACCCCTCGGGGACTGTTTCATTTTATCCAATCTTGGCTTTTTAACTCGGTATGGAACATTTGGAATAGTTTTCATCAACGACTTAACGACTCCCCTATTCCTCTGCTGGTAATTCCAGATCTCCTGCCGGCGTTTGAAATCATCATCCTTGGGATTGTCGATTAGGTAAGTTCGGATACGCGCCCAACTCCTACCCGGCGGCTCGCGATCTGGCGATACACCACCGACCCGAAATCCCTGGTTTATCTCGGGAAATGTCGGCGTATTGACTTCCTCCATTGTTGTTTACTCTAGCGTATCCTGTAACAGAACGGTGCCATTGTTCAACTTTTCTTCAGGTTCATATTTGGCAGTGTCCCCATTCCTTCTATTCTGATCGTTTCCGCATCAATGGCCAGCTGGGTGAACTTGACAAGTCTGCAAACATAGCATAGACATTGCCATTATTGAGTGACATACATATATCTTATAATGAGTGTACAACACGTCGGAGTAATCAATAGTATCCTTCAATTGTCACGTTTAAACGTTTTACACAGACCTTTTATATATAACCATGCATTTCTTAACAATGGTCACATGTTTTGTTTAAAAAAAAAGATAAATATCATTTTAGTTTTGACAATGAAATAACAAGGTAATGAAATATGTTACCAATTTCTGTATTGAGAGGTATACGCGCTTCCCGTGAATCAAACATTTATAGGAATTTATATATTTTCATTATCGATTTACAAAGCAATGCACGCACATGTAGAGGGAAACATACACAGTATATCAATAAATAATGAGGATCTTTATATAAAAGTATATTGCAAAACAATCCGAAAGACAATACACATTGGTGAATAGTTGTTCGAGTATTTCTCTGTGTATATAGTAATAGGGTACTGAGAAAGAAAACGATTTAAACATTGTCTCGTAGATTTTCGGTTATGTACGTATCGATATTTCTGTTGCGAAATTTTACATCGAGGGTACGAGATTCAACATTTAAGAGATATGCTGACTCTAACTCAATTTTACTTAAAAGGCATGCTGACCCAGGCATGATTATTTTACCTGCTCAACAGTAAAATCATTTTATTTATTTCTCGTCCCCAATTAGAAATATTACCGAAAGAATATTTGAATTATCCTATTCAATCATACAAAGAAATTCAAGCCGTATTTTCATAAAAACGATCAACAAAAATAAACGCATTGTTGCTTAAGACGAGATAAAGACTTGTATAGCATTTGTTTATCTTTGGAATGTCAACAGTTTTCTTGTACATATCACAAACTGGTGATCAATGTTTGAATAAACTGACAGGTAACACACAATATGTGACACAGCATTGTGAAGCACGACCTTCAGTGATACCATATGTCACACAGCATTGTGAAGCACGACCTTCAGAAATTTAAAAGCCGTTTAAAGTCCACACCATCAGTAGTATGTATATATAGTGAACAATGGACGACGGTGTCAATACTACCAGATACCAGTCAATAGGTTTGTTCTGCCTATTGACTCCCTTTACTATACACTTACACATCAATCACGATGCCATTCATGGGTTATTGCAATCAATGTAATAATTTTGAAATAAAATGCAGAAAGGAACGGTTCATGTTGCCAAAAAAGTTAAAGTTGCAACTTTTTAAAGTACAATTCTCCTTTTCCGTATGAACGAATTGAATAAACGCATCAATGAATGATATAACACGATATGCTTTGCATTAATAATATTAAACCATATTGTCAAACTTATTAACACACTCAAATCCTATCATAAATTAATTGAAAAAGTCTATCTGACACCATCACAAAATTTCATCACCACTGATCATTCACAATCCCCTGTCCTACTACAACAGTTTTTGTATATACATGTACAGTGACATGTTCTTGATTTTTTTTTAGATAAATTTTTGTTGAGTAGGTAGCTCAGTCGGTTTAAGTGATAAAATCTAGAGTTCAGGGTTCGAATCCCGGTATAGACCCCTCTACACTCAGAACGCTGTTGTTGACTGTAATGTGTTTATTTAATCTTTATTATTTTTATCATAAAATTTGCGCAAGTTAGATGTTTCTTTTAAGAAATACATTATTGAAACTGTTGCTATGGTGGAAAAAAACCGTTTCCAATGCGAAGTTACAGGTTTTTGGCAATGGTACGGGGGTCCTTAACTCGTTTAAGCATCACTGTAACACTGCCTTGTGGTTTTTCTGTTATTTTGAAAAACGTTTTAATGAAAGTCCTTTTAATGAGATGCATTCAACATTTTCACACACATGCAAAAGCGAAATATATGCAATATTAAGAAAATAAATAGTTGTCTGACTAAAGTATGGACGTCGGCAACTGTGAGTTAAATAAATCATAAAGGAAGGGATCTAACTCCTGCGAGACCAGTCACAGATATGAGAAAAATATTCTAACAATTCTGTAAAAGGGGAGCTAACTCCAGCAAGACAAGTCACAGATCTTGTGTTACCACGATAAAAGTACGATATAAAATGTCAAACACGTTTTTAATGTCGTTACATTTAAAGACTATGATTTGAGGGGTATATTTGCTCATCGACATACTAACAACGTCATCTAAGAACCACTGAACTTCAGCGTTAGTGATGCATTTTCGTTCTCTCCATGTAAAGAGAAAGCGAAACTTTGATATATTGCACATGCATCACTCATAAAACTGGATAAAGCAATGCTTGTTTTACATCTGAATCACGTCACACATGTAAAATGCAACACACGCACACACACACACACATTGGAATTATCCACAGTAGCCAGGAACACATACATAGCAATTATTTACAGTGATCATAAACAAAAATTATAATTATTCACCAGTAGCCATAAAAACACAGACAACATTCATTCACAGTGCCCAGGTACACAATGTACAATTAGTCAGCAGTGGTCAGGAATATTTCAATAACCAAAGACTCAATATCAATCAATCGTTGAATAAAATACATCTAAATATATGTTTTAATGGCGTTTTTGACACATTCGATCATTAAATGATAAATCATATTAGCTGGTAATCTGGTGATCTAGCTACAATAAACCACTCCAGGTGATAATCCGATGTCAATCGATAGTGCTGTCGAATCAGCAAGACAAATACACCTGTCGAAATAAAGCAGCATGCGATTCTTTACCTGGATCGATACAACAATATACATGCAAAAGAAAGTTGGAGACTAAATCGATCATATACTCTGTGCCCACTTTACTGATCCATACCCTTGTACAGACGCGGGCGCTGTGATAAAGCATACAAAGCTACTGTAAGGTGTGTGTAAAGATACACAGATAATCCTACCTGTCATTTCGTATACTTTCACACTACCTGTGCAACATGTCCGTAATGTTTGAGCATCGCTATCTCTTAAGGATTGCACCCAGTTCAATCTCCTAGCATGTGGTCGAGAGATGTTTGCATGAATATACTACGTGGTTGGGTTCTGTTAAAGTTCTGGGATTATTGTTTCTTCTTAGATTCGTCAACGTGCGGAGGATATATCTAGCGTGCCAGACAAACATGATCTAACAATCGTTTGTTGGTTTACTTGTTTTATAATTCTTTCACTGTACAAGTACAAATATGCATACAGCCATATTGAACGACATTGTATTCATCATCTGTCAAATACAATCTGACAACATTGTGTTAGGTTAGGATACGTGCCCATTAAAATATAAATCAAAAACAAACTATAAAAAAGAAGGAAGTAAGATAAATCAATTATCCCTTCATTATTGGATGTAATGCAAAATACTCCCCTTAAAAAAATATTAGAATGAATAAAAAAAGGTAAGTTTCAGTCTACGAGCAATCTTTAAGCTATTTCAGAGTGCATCTCAATGAAAAAAATCTTTGACAATGTTACATGGTATCCCCACCCGGTCAAATGTGCTTAGATGTTGCAAACGGATCCTAGATCCGTTATGAGCTCATTGATGTATATGAAAGACAATCTGATATGACTCAGGCAATATAGTATCAGTTGTCAAGGTAATTATAAGAAACCAATATTAACACCATCTATAAGATTACTTACCGTCAATGCCTTGACAATAATATGCCGATGTAATATAGTTGAACATAAACCGGTCTGAGCACAAAAGATTAAGAAATATCCACAATCGAACACGTAGGTACAAAACTGCGATGTCAAGAACATCAAAAAAAGAAACAAGGGGAAATATTTGTACGTCATTTAACGCTCTTTCACAATGAGCGTGCTTTTATCAGAGTTTTACCAAACCTATTTCGCAGCAGTCATACCACATAAAACATTGAAATCACTAAATCTTTTTTCAATTAGTGATGATCAAAGCGGTCCATCTTCAACTTTAGTTTCATTACATAGTATACCTCTAATGCCGCCAATCATTCCTAATGTTCGCCTCAGTCACTGGCCATACCCACATTTATGAATATTTAATTCAGTGACAATGCAAGAATGCACTCTTAATGAGTGCTTTTCTAAAACAACATAATATCTTGAATTAAGTTGGCATTTGTTAAAAATAATTAATGCCTGCGGAATAACGGGGTTCATCTATTCATGCAGCTATGCCCTTAAAAAACTGTTTTGTTAACACTTGACTTATTGTTTGGTCCTTTTCAACATCTGTATAATGCCAGTTTTCGGTAAGTTGGGGCGCACTTAACAGGCCACGTGCACAACAGGCTACAAGTATTTTGGCTATGTATTAAACTCGAGGTCATTTAACGGCGAATTCAGTGTTTCGACATTAATTTGTAAGTCATTCAATTACACTTGAACTTTTTAAATATACTGTAACTATCTCAAAAGCACCCACTTGCTCATAAATATCAATACAAGTGCATTGTGTTTGATATGTTTAGTCACAATGATAAATACTGTACTACCTTTTCTAATTAACAGATAGTGTAGTCTATATACAATGCATGCTAATTTAAAGGAAATTTAATTAGATGTTTATAAAAACATAAATGACAAAAAAACATGGACGGTGTTTGAGTACTAATAGAAATGTATCCTATCAAACATGGAATTTGTAAAAATAAGAATAACATTGCACATTCATGCAAAAATACTATAGAGGTGATATAGGACAGTAATATAAATGAACGCCTTCATAGTGGAGCTCGAGAACCAACTCGTGATATAGTGGAGCTCGAGAACAAACTCGTGATAAAGTGGAGCTCGAGAACAAACTCGTGATAAGGTCATTTGAACGAGGTACACATCATACAAGTAAGGTCAAATATATATTAAATGTTAATTTCAAACGATAACGTATAAGTTATCTTGGAAGCAAATCAATACCTACAAATGACATCATCAACTTCAAAATGTTTAAAACTTTAACTTGAACCATGGCCCGGTACAATCTCATTACATATGAAACAGGCAA